GTTTACTGTCACCCTTGATGCAATGGCATGACACAGAAACCTAACATCAGTACATCCAACGGTGCCACCAGCAGTGAGCTTCACATCAATTCCTACAAAGAAGACAAGGGAAAACCCACTGGGGTTAGTGAGTGAGGTGCCTCTCCACTAAAGTTAGTCATGTTTGTGCGCAATCTAATGGCCCACTGAAGAAAGGGTATGCCTGGGAGACTGGTTGCAGAGAAGCAACTGGATCTGCAACTTCCTGACCCGTAGACCACAATCAGTAAGGATAGATGACAACGCCTCCTCCACAGTTATCGTCAACACCGATGCCCTACAACATTGTGTACTCAACCCTCACTATTCTCCTTACACATTCACAACTGTGTGGCTGAATTCAGCTCTAACTCCATTTAGAAATTTGCTGATGACATCACCATATTGGGTCAGATCTCAAACAACAATGGCAAGACAGAGTACAGGAAGGAGATAGACAGGTTAGTGGCATGGTGTAAAGACAATAATCTTTCCCTCAATATCAGCAAAATGAAGCAGCTGGTAATTGACTTCAGGAAGTGGAGTGGAGGACATGCACCTGTCTGTATCAATGGTGCTCAAGCGGAGGTGACTGAGAACTTGAAGTTCCTAGGAGTAAAGATCACAAATTGACCCTCAGTTAGCTGGGTGTGCCCACGATCATTCAAACTGCACCTTTCCATTCTCTTGTTCACTTCTGTATAGGATACTCATTGATATCACATCAATGATAGTGGCAGATCCTGGGACAGCAGTGACAAAACCCCTACTTGGTTGATTTTGGGAAGAAGGTTGAATTAGTGCTCTTTCGTCCATTATCCCCTCCCCTCCCCCCACTTCAGGGATCAGTTCGTTCTTCAAGTTAAGGAAAATTGCCACATTTTTGAAAGTGCTTCTTCCCCTTAAAGCAGGCTCCATCTTGCACCATCACAGCTTCTGTTGCTCCTTTTCAATGGCACTAGGCTCCCTCACTGATGGAGGTCAGGGTGAATATTTTAGCGATGGAGTACACATACTGACGCCTAAGGTGTCATTATGAGTGGGATTCCCAAACTGACCAGCTCCATTGCATAATTAGGATGATCCAGCCCTTAGATTCACTGTGATACTCAAGGCGACAGATTGCAGGATTAAAAAATGGCGAATGATGGTTTTCTCAGAACAGGCTCTGGGCTTCCTCCCACTTAGGTGAAAGTTAACATGGCGATTTTAAAACTGTGTGCCTGGCAACAGTTTAGCCAGTGGATTTAGTTCTTATGCCACCAAGTTTGTTGATAGGGTAAAATAAATAAGTGCAACACAACAGTTTATCACTGCGATGACACTGTGTGGAGCTGGAGAAACGCAGCAGGCCAGGCAGCATCAGAGGAGCAGGAAAGCTGACGTTTCAGGTCGGGATGCCGCCGGGCCTGCTGTCTTCCTCCAGCTCCACACTGTGTTATCTCAGACTCCAGCATCGGCAGTTCTTACTATCTCTGAGTGAGTTTATCACTGCACGTTGATACTCTGACGCATTTTGATTGCACTCTGATATGGGCAGGATTTTCCCTTCTACAGTCATGCTGTCACTGGCAGTAAATCTGTTCTCGCCTCCTCTGGGGAAACTCCCGGTGGACATTTCTTTGTAAATGTGCTTTTAATGGTTTTTCATCATTAAGATTTATTTGAAAGTTTGAGCAATTGTTTAATTTTGCAAGGCAGATGAAGTATCTATAGGCTGCTGTGACCAGCATCAATAGTAAATCCAGTTTATAACATGAAACTTATTGTCACATTGTGCTGAGAGAGAGGTATCTGTACATAGACCGCTGTTGCTCATCTCTGAGAGTTGAAACAGATCAGAGGTCACCGAGAAACAGAGATTTTGGTTCATGGTTTTACCTTCAGCAGGGAATCTTGAAAGAAGGGGCAAAATAAGCATTTGCAATCGTCCTTTTCAGATTGTTGAATACTGCAAGGTGCATCTAAATGCAGCATTGTAGAGTAACAAAGGGAGGAATTTTCCTGTGAAGTTGGAGGTGGGCTTGGAGGAGAAAGGACCTGGAAAAGTTGAAAAAACAACCTCTTCAGGCCGGTGTGCAACAGGATGGTCCAAGCCACTTGAAAGTTACAGCCGAACTGATGCCGACATTGTGGAAAGCATTTTGACTGGGAAATGTAAAGTTTCTAAGTGCATTGTGACCAAGCCCATTGTTGAATGGCAGGGTTTGAACTACCACAGTGAGAGTGGTCTTTGTTAAACAAGTTCAGGATGCGGACTAAAAGGTTATTGTTCAAAGATCTAAATAGTAAGCCAACATTAGAAGTGATATGGGGAATCAATCTTACCAACAGCTTAGATTAGTAATCTCTCTAGATCCCACCAAGGACACAACCTCTCCAATCATCCATCACCATGACAACTCCATGAGATCACATCTGGAAGCCTGTGACTGCTGCAAGAGGGGCTCAAGAGCTGAGAAAATGGTTCCAATGCCTGAAAAGTTTCAGAGTTTAGAAGATACAGTTCACAATAACCAAATTAAACACACTGAAGTGCTCCAAAATGTAATCGAATAAGGCTCACATCATCAGTTTGTGCAGCACTGGATTAATGTTGATCAGGACATTCGGAGAGTTGTGCTTTCTTTCTCTGAATATTGTCATGGAATTTTCTAGCTCCTGAGAGGACAAAGAGGATCTCAGTATAGCATTACAACTGAAAGCTAACCCCTCCCTTGTACTACACTCAGGTTGTCAGCCTAGACCATCTGCTCAAGTTTCTGGAATGGGCCTTGAACATAACCCTCCTGAGTCAGTTGTGAGACCATCAAAGCCAACACACATAAACTAATTTCCCTCAGTGTTCCCAGTGACGATCAGTCCTCATCCGTCATTGGCTGAAGTCTTATTCTCTATTCGATCAAGTAGCAAAATGAGCCATGCTCAAAAAACTTTCCCAGAGGAAAACACCAGTGAAAATGGCAAATGACACATTATGGTCAGATTCATCTTGTATACTTCAAAATGAAGGGTCAGTATGACCAGTACCTTCGTTTCCAAGTAGAACTGTTCTTTGTATTGATTTTCCCCTGGGGCTGTGTGTTGATCCTTGGATTAAACTATAAATGCTTCCCCAGAGATCATCTTGTTTGCTGATTCGTAAAGTAAATCTACCCGACAAATTGGCAGCTATTAAAAGAGATGTATTTTCAATTATTTGTTCATGCGATATAGGTGTCACTGGTTAGGCCACCATTTATTGCCAATCCTTAACTGCCCTTGAGCACTCCCAGGGCTGTTACGGAGGGACTTTCAAGGTTTTCAACCAGTGATGATGAAAAACTGCAGCACTTTTTCCAAGTAAGGCTAAGGTATAATGGGGTGAAGAGCTTCAAGGGCTGTGGTGTTCCTGTTCAGTCATGTGTATGGCACTTAACTCCAAACAGTCTCAGAAGTAGTGATTTTTGAGACCATGGTACTTTCTGTGAGAACTCCTCATATACAGTTTAGTAGATACCAACATTCTCTCACGATTTTGGTGAAGCTTTTGCCACCTTCCAGTTCTCCCTACATAATCATATGACACAAATATTATCATTATATCATGAGACATCATCATCATCATCATCATTATACACAGTGCTGTTGTCTCATTACGCTAGTCTTCCAACCATCTGATGTCCCTCTCCATTTATATTTTCATGTAGCCACAACATACCTGTGCAATTTTCATTTTGCCAGTTGATGCCAGTGTTGTAGCTGTGCTGGAATAGTTTTAAGGGTGATGACACTAGCTCTGGGACACAAGTCTTCAGCACCATACTGAGAATGATGTCGAGAGCCAGAACTTTCGCTGTGACCAATGACCACAGCTCCACTTAATATCACGTGGAATCATTAGAATTGTTCAGAGACTAATTTTTGTGATGCAAAGGACCTCAAAAAGAGGCCAAGATGGATCATCTGCACAGCACATCTAGCTAACGGTGGTTGCAAAAACATCAGCCTTTGCAATCAGATATTAGGGTTCTTCCATCATTAATAATCGTCATGGAATTGAGGCTTGTCTCTTTTATCTTATTATTGTCCACCGCCATTCATCACTGGGACTTTGATCCGAGTTGTTGATTGTAGGATTTGCTCTTAGCTCTGTCTCTGTTGTTGCTCGTGTTTAAATTTTTTTTTTTTAAATCCTGTGTTGTAGTTTCATTGAGTCACCACAGCATTTTTATTTATGCCTCCTGATTCTCCTGGCATGCTGTCTACATTCCTCACTGAACCAGAGTAAAGCCCATGTTTCATTGTAATGAGAGATTGGAGGATATATCAGGCCATGAGGTTACACTAGATCAATCCTGAATCTATTCCCAATGGTGTGGTGGTAGTAATGGAGAGAATTGCTCAGGATGAAGAATGAACTTAGTCTCCGCAAAGATTGGCTGGTATTCCCAATCCTGACATGACCATGCCTCTGCGGCAGGTTAATTGGTGAGAATAAGTTCAAGTATGTCCTCCCCTATGTTGTTTATCTCTCCCCCTGCTGTCTGAAATCTTCTACAAGATGTGGCCAATAAGACTGTAAGATATAAGAGCAGAGTTAGGCCATTTGGCCCATTGAGTCTGCTGTGCCATTCAATCATGGCTGATATGTTCCTCAGATCCATTCTTCTGCCTTCTCCCCATAACCTTGATCTCCTAACTAATTAAGAACCTATCTATTAACTATATTTAAATCTCCCAACTCCTCAGTCACAAACCACTTCCATAATATGAATGGCTGTCATGTCTTGCCCATCCAATGAGGGACATGGTATCCGGCCCATTCATTCCCTCCTGTATGCCTTGACTGCAAGAAAAAAAGCAAAAGGAATGCTGGACTAGAGAGCACAACACAAAATATCACAATTTATCAGGCCCTGTCTTGTTGATAGTTATTAGGATCCCAGCTACGAGTGAAAACCAATGAGCTAATTTGAGCGATATATTATCAAATACTGTAAATGAATACTTTTTGTAGGATTTTTGTCAATGAAACTGACTCTGTTTGCTATAATATTATATTTTGTATATTTCAGGATGAAACACCAATGCCTGCGAAACTGAGCCTGAGCAAATCCGTGAAGGAACACATGAAAGCACCAGAAGGAAGTGAAGAAGGAAGAGAGCTTGTGATCAACGAGAACCACCCTGAAGGTGAAGCAATCTCACTTTCCTCTGATGATGAGGTGGAACTCGAAGTCATTGAAGAGGAGACAACCGCAGTCCGCCTGAAAAGAAGCAGCATGAAGCGTATGGATGATTTCAAGAAGGCATTTTCCAAAGAGTCAGTGGAAAAAGCTAAGCAAAGGACAAGGGAAAACCTACAGAAGACCAGGCTGAGAACCAAGGTGAATATGGAGAAGACCAGACAAGCAACAAGGGAAAATCTGCAGAAGACGAAGCACAACTTTGAAAAGAAAATGAACAAGCTTGGCAACAAGATCGTAACTCAAGAAAGGAGAGAGAAGCTGAGGGACTCAAGAGCAAGACTGAAGAAGTCCTTTACGCCAGATCATCAGAAAACAGCGAGGTGTCGGACAACCGTCTACAGAATTCCACCATTTACATTTTGGGTTAAGAAGATGAGAGATGGAGATGTGGTGGTCCAGGAGGTGGAGATGATGGAAGGCCAGGGAGAGGAACACATGATAGAAAATGAAGACAACACTGAGCTCCTTATTGAAGAAATCCCCGAGGAATCACTGGAGGAAGACAGAGATTCAGAGGAGACCGAACTTCTACTGGTTCAGAAAAGAGGAATTGAGTAATGACTGTATTTAGTGGACGTGAAGTCATGTGATTCTTGCTAGTTGGCTAAAGCAAATGAACCGAAGTGGAGGAGTGAAAAGTTTCGGGAATAGTTGATTGTTAAAGAATGGGTAAATTAAGAAATGGTTGTTACGCAACCTGGTAATCTTAGTCTTGGTTCCAGCAACTCGCGACCAGCAAGCATTGCTCTGGTTAGATAAAGCATGCTGTGTCTTCTTCCCCGGTAAAATACCGAACAGAATTCAATGTTTAAATCATTGCAATTTGAAGAAACAGCCTTCTAAATGTATACTTATGCCTTTTTAATCTGAAATTACGAGCAAATTAAGTAATAATTCAACGTGAAGGGGATCAACGTTGTTTTCAAGGTAATAAACATATTTTAAAAAATTGACGCTTGCTTTCCAATCTGATATGAAAAATTATAATCTTGAGAATGCTAATAATTTGTATTTTGGGGAGAAGCTTGTATATAATGAAAAATTTTAAAGGTAAAGACATTTTTCGAACTATTATGAAGATTAATACAAGTCATTATCAACCAGAGTTTATTTTCTTTTGGAATTCATAATCTTATTTTATTAATTAATTACTTTTCCCAAGAAACATTAGACATGATATTGTGCTGGCCAACTCTATCAAACTATGAGAAACCTAATCACAGCAATATTCGTAAAGCTTGGTGAAAAGTGAGATGTTATTTGCCTTCTTTTCCAGTTGGAGACAAATATCATTAGGTCTTGAACACTGTCATCCGGAACTAGATTATCAAGCAGCAATGCAGAATAAAATGTAGATCAATAGCCTTTCTAAAGTAAGTTTACAGTACATTAGCTTGTGGTAACAGCTGAAAGTGTTGAACGAATAGACAAACAGGCCAGGCTGTTAAGGGCTAAATTAACCTTGTTATGAGCCAGGAATAGATTTGGCACATTAGGATGTAAAAAGAAGGCCAGAGAATGGGGAATGATTCAGAAGATTATCATGCATCATATTATTTTGGCAATAGAACTTCTTAAAAGTACAACAAAATGTTGCTCTTGCCAACAAGTGAGAATGACACCTTGTATGGCGTCATTGCTTTTTGTCTATATAAAATGAAACATGTTCTGCATTCATCACATAGCTGGCGTATCAATTACATGGCCTATCTTACCTTTACAGTCTTGTTTAATTTGCTTTTATACACAGTAACCATAGTAATAGGCAGAGGTGTAACACATTGCATGTCACTGTCATTAAAACCGCATCACTCATATAATAAGTTCTTTTAGAATTTATATACATTATGAATCATTTTTCCCATTAGCAGCTGCTTAAAAGTCATAGAAAATAGTTGATGCTTTGTGGAAGTAACCTTTTGATTGCTGCAAAGGAGATTTTGCACCATATCCAAATACCTTTAAACATATTTTTTTGGTCTATAATTTTACAGTGTTTAGTCATACACTACTGTTTTTAAACTGCATTCAGAAATATACAAGGCTATTTTGCATTTATCTAGAATCTATTAAAAATCTTATATCCACATATACCATTACCTTTTTGCTATTATAAATTCATCGGTGTAATGAAAATACCAGCTATAAACCTGTCCTGGTGTAATGACATCTTCCTGCCACTAGAAGCTTTGTGGTAACATCTTTGTCAGGGACCTCTAATCACAGCATGACCACCTCATATCAGCAGTACACATTATAAATGTAGACAGAGTAAGTTTTAACAAAAATATAAAACTAAACACAAAATATATAACTTCAAAATGACAACTGGATTACAACTGTACTCTGTTATTCAACCACCAGCTTCCCATTAATGCTGCTTCCCATAACAGGGTATAAGAAATGCTCAGTCTTGACTGAACATGTGTAACACCTTAAGTAAGGTTTTCCCAAACAAAATTAGAAGCAAAGCGTAAGTGATTATTTAGCCTTGAAATTATACTGTACAATAGTTACAAATGAAAACTTAATGTATTTCATATGAAATTCTGTCATCTGCTAATGTAATTAGTTCATTTGTTTTTAAGTCGTTGGTTATTTTTTCTGCTCAAATAACAGACAAAGAAATTTCACACAAATTTATAAAATTCTTAAAGACAATACTGTGCAATATAACTTCAAAGTTGATATTTCAAATGTTTATTTAGTTTGGATTCCATAAACAGATTTCTGCTGGTATTGCATGGTATTTGGAAGTAGACAGTTCCAGTATTTTGGAATTATATATTTTGTGACTTGTAAATAATTAACATGTTGCAAGCACTATATTTGAAAAATGCACAAAAACGTATCTAATATTTAAATGCTTTCTGCCTGCTGGGAACAGTATAACATCATAACTTTTAAGGAATTGGAAAAGGCCATCAGGGCTAATGTGCCTGACCTAAATAAATGGGTCAAACAGACACAGCTCTCACCATATATCACAATCCCGCCACCCCCTCCCCGCCCTCAACCTTTCCAAAAGCATACCCAAATGTCTATTTGTTGCATTTATACTGTCAGTTTCAACGATCTTTACTATTCCACAATATACCTCCTGTTGACCATTTTTCTGTCGATGCACATCAGTGATGCTCCAATGTGCTTTGATACCTCCTCGCATCTTATAAATTCTTGTTTAAATTAGGTTATTTTTATGGATATATGTTTTGATTTTATTTCAATGCAGTCTTGTCCAAATGCAAAGCAAGTACTAGCTGTTCCATGCTTGTAGTAAGTGCCTTTCAGCAAAATCCAAATTTTCAAAGTGTACATTTCCACCAAGTGTCAATATCAGTCTGAATGCAAACCAATAAATGGATAGCATGTATTGGTAAAATTTATGACTGTATCCTGGAGATCAGCGTGAAGCAAGAAAACAGATAACATGTAATATCTGTATGAAAGAAACATACAGAAAAACAGAATTGATATTTAGCTTATAACTTTTTCAATACAACAGCAGTGTTTATGAATATACACTTCATGCAGATTTTAAATCTTTGCCTTCTATATATTGTATTTTTAATGTGGGCAAATGCTTAACAATTCATAATAAAAACAATCTCATATACAAGAAGTCATCGTGTGTGAACCTGTATTACTTCTTTGTGTCAAGCTGTCTAGAGTAATATGACCATCACTTTCCCACAGGATGAGGTGAAAGAACAACCATGTATTCTGTAATGTTATTCCTTTCTCCTTTCCTAGATTTGACAACATTTTACCTAACATGCTCCCATTTTGTCTCTTTCACCCCCATTCAGTCACACTGGGATGCATTTAAACATTTTCCAGTTCCCGCACGCTCTGAAGCAGCCAGAATTTCTGACAACCACCTGGAATTTCATCAAACATCCACACTCACTCAAATGTTACTTGAAGCTTGTATTGATGGAATCTGAACAACCTAACTAACAGCCATCTGTGAAATTGTTGTTAGAGAGCTTGTGGCTCTTTATCATGTTGCCTAAAAATAATTGTGTGGACAAATTAACACTGAGCTACCAAAATATTTTGAAGGCTTGTAAATGCATTGGAAATAGTTCAAAGGAAGTCTACTAGACTGATCATTGGAATGAGTGAGATAACAAGGTGTAGAGCTGGATGAACACAGCAGGCCAAGCAATATCAGAGGAGCAGGAAAGCTGACGTTTTGGGTCTAGACCATTCTTCAGAACTTCATTTCTGAAGAAGGGTCTAGACCCGAAACGTCAGCTTTCCTGCTCCTCTGATGCTGCTTGGCCTGCTGTGTTCATCCAGCTCTACACCTTGTTATCTCAGATTCTCCAGCATCGGCAGTTCCTACTATCTCTCTCTATTGGAATGAGTGAGTTGGCTTATAGGGATAGATTTAACACATTGGGCTTGTTTCCCCTGGAGATGAGAAGAGTGAGCAGTGATTTGATCGAAGTGTAACACCCTGAATAGTCTTGACATGGTGGACATGGAAAGGATGTTTCCTCTTGTAAGTAAGTCCAGACTAGGGAGCCCTGTTTTAAAATTAAGTTTCACCATTAGAGAAGGGAAGCATTTACACTCAGAGTGCTTCTTTGGAACTGACTGCTTCAGAAGGCAGTGGAGTTAGGATCATTGAGTATGTTTAAGTCAGAGATTGTTAGATTCTTGTTAGGCAGGAGAATAAAGGGTAAGATGGGAACACGGAATGTGAAACATAAACAATCAATTATGAACAACCAGAGTCAAGGGGCTGAATTGCCTGCATCTGTTCCTATTTTGCATGTTCATGTGAATTTCATGCTTTCCCTGACTGGCTTCACCATGCAGAAAAATGAAAAATCTGAGAGGTGCAGGTTACTCAACTGTGGATAAGGGTAAAATGGCAGACAGTACTACACATATCTACTTTTACAATCTGGCTATCAGAATCAACTGTACTAAAGTTTACATACTAAAATACTTCATTATGGCAATTCTGGTACAGAAGTAGAGGTTGCAAAACTTGGATGGCAAGCTCAGGCACCAAGCACTCTATCAAGATGAGAAACAGAATGGATCCCCAATCTTGCTGAAATCCTGATCTGCTGTTCGGAGGCACTGACAAGAAAGTTGACTCCTTCCAGCAAGTTGGAGGCGAAATGAAAGGGAACATAATCACCCAGTTAGTTTCTGATCTCTCATACTGCCCACAGACATTACTGGCAGAGGTCTCAAAGCAAACTGTAAAACACATGATGTAACCAGAAAATAAATGGAGAAAATAAGAGGAAGCATTGCAAGCTGAAATGCAGAATAATTTAAAAAATTAATGCCTTCCTCTAAATTGGAAATTTGAAGTTCGTTCATTATATTTCAATCAGCTCTCTATGATAGTTATCAGCATACAAATTGTTGAAAACTGCAAAAAAAAAATCACCGATCATAGCTGCCTTAAGCTAAAGATTTTTTTTTATTAATTCATGGAATGTAGATGTCACTGGCTAGACCAGCCTATATGGCACAGAGGACAGTTAAGAGTCAACCACATTCTGTGAGTCTGGAGGAATGTGTAGGACAGCAGTTACTTCCCTTGAAGACATTAGTGAACCAGATAAGTTTTTCCTCATCAATTCATTCTCATAATTCCAGATTTGTTTTGTTTTAATTATATTCAAATTCCTCCATCTGCCATAGTGAAATTTGAGCCAAGGTCCCCAGAACATTACCTAGGTATCTGGAATATTAGTCGAGCAATTATACCACGAGGCCACCTCCTCTTCTGATCTCACATATTCCACTGAGTAGTACTATTGGTGTTTTGTCTATTTAATCCAGTGTAATATTTCAGTGGGATAATGTTTTCCACATGGATGGATAACATCCATTTAAGATAAATAATGAATTTTGTGTAACAGCTGCATGATACCAGTTGGCACATTTACTCCTCTCCGGAGAAGAGTCCATTACAGCCAACATATGGCTCGAAAACTGAAAGAGTAAAGTTCAGCAGAGTAACTGAGGTCAGAGAAACAACTCAACATTGCATTTTTTTAAAAAATTGGACTCAATCTTTAAAAACGGGAAAAAGTGTTGCTTTTACAATACACAGAACTAAAATAATTAATGCTTTGACCATGTGGATGGAAGGATGAGACAATTCTTTTTCTATCCCACTCCTCCACTAATAATAACAAGTAAATGTGACCAGAGTGGTGAGTTGGACAATCATACAGTTATCTGCTTTAGCAATAGAAACAAAACAACCAGGTTTCTTTTGTGAACAAATAATATGTAGTTTATTACAAATTGTCAAGCCTATCACCTTGTCTTTACAACTGCCTACTGTCATCTTTCGCACAAACTGATAATGACAAAAAAGGAATTAATTAATCACAATGAGTTTACATTTCTTTCTCCTCAGCTCAGCAGGGAGCCTCCTTGGAGAAAAAAAGTAACTCCCTTGATTAGCAACAGGAACGGTTCCAGTCCGTTGGTACAGTTACACTGGAATTAGAAGCCTAAAGGTGAATACAGCTACAGGAAAGTACATATTGAAGTGATTGGAATGAGGTCAGCCTGACAGATGATGATTTCCCTGAATGGGGCTGTTAACCTGGTCCAATCAGGGAGCCCTGGCTGACAGATATAAGCAAGAGTGTCAGGGGTTCTGTTCACTCTAGGAGCCAGCTCTGTACTAGCTGGGTCAGTATCAGGTATGATACAACTGTAAATAAAGATTAACTTGGTCAAGGGATACTGGCTTTCGTGGAGTCACGAAAGATGAGCAAGGCACAATTATGGCTCAATATAGCAGTAGGAACAGAATTAATCCTATATCAAAGGGAAAAGCCATTTAAAGCCACTTAACCTCTCAAGCCTGTTCCTCCAATCAATGAGCAATTGTTATTAGGGACTGTGTTTCAACTCCAATAAATTTCTAAATCAGCACAGGGATAGTAACAATTTGTAGGAGAGGAGATGGAGTTGATTCTGAGTAAAGGCAATGTATTTCTATTTTCCACTAATTGCCAATTTACAGTCAAAGCACAAGAGCAAGATGCAAGTAAGCGGAAGTAACTCAAGTTGAAATAAGTAAAGTAATATAAAAGTATAAGGTTAAGTAACAGCAGGGCAGCTTGGCCAAGCAGAATACCCATGTTGTGGCTCATTGGGAGTTGTGGATACTTCATGTGACCTAGACAAGCCCATGAGCAGAAAGCTTTGCCAGCTGAACAAGCTTGAGCTCTGGGTTTCAGGTTTTCCACAGCAGCTAGAATCACAGTTGTGTATCCACAAGGCAGTGAACTATGTGGATAGTATGTGCAGAAGGTTGTCACTCCACAAGTTAAGAGAAAGCAAGCAGATAAGGGGAATGGGTGATTGTCAGGTAGACCAAGAGAAATAGAGTGCAAGACTACATCTCCACACTGGGACTAGACCTCCACACTGGGACTCGACCTTACATTGGGACTACACCTCCACACTGAGATGAGACTTCCACGCCGGGACTGATCTACATATTGCCACTGGACCTTCACCGCGGGACTAGACCGTTACCCCAGGAATAGACCTCCATGCTAGGAGTAGACTTCCACACTGAGACAAGACTTCCACACTAGAACTAGACCTCCATGCTGGGACTAGACCTCCACGTTGGGACTAGATCTCCATGCTGAGACGAGACCTCCACACTGGGACCAGGCAACCATGCCAGGATTAGACCTCCACACTGGGACTAGGTCTCCACGCTGAGACAAGACCTCCACACTGGGACCAGGCCTCCATGCCAGGACTGGACGCCCATACCAGGACTAAACCTCCACGCTGAGATGAGATCTCAATGCTGGAACTAGACCCCTATGTTAGGACCAGAACTCCATGCGAGGACTAGACCTTCACAGTGGGACTATCCCTCCATATTGGGACCAGACCTTCATGCTGGGACCAGACCTCCATGCTGGGACTAGACTTCCATACTGGGACTAGACCTCCATGCTGGGAGTAGACCTCCATGTTGGGACCAGAACTCCACGCTGGGACCAGACCTTCATGCTGGGACCAGACCACCTCGCTGAGAGTAGACCTCCACAGTGGGACTAGACCTTCATGTTGGGACCAGACCTCCACACTGGGACCAGACTTCCATACTGGGACTAGACCTCCATACTGGGACTAGACCACAACACTGTGACTAGACCTCCACGCTGGGACTAGACCTCCACGCTGGGCCGATGGAAGACCCAGAAGCTACCTCCAAAGCCAAGATGAGACCTCTATACCTGTGGAGTTACAGGCACAAAATTCCTCATGGAATTATGATGTTGAGACAACAACAGAAGCCTGGCTAAAAGAGGAAAAGTCTCTGTGTTAAATATTCTTGATTACAAGATGTTCAGAAGAAATAAATTAAAATATTTTGTGCAGTCGTAACGGGGGACTTTAGATACCTGCATGTGGACTGAATAGTGGGAGTGCACAGGGCAGCGAGGCACATATGTTCCTAGATTGCATACAGGAGAATATTCTAGTCTAACAAGAAAGGAGGCATTGCTTTATCTGATTCTTGAGAATGCAGTGGGCCAAGTAGATCCAGTGAGGAAGCATATAGGGGACAGTGATAATTGTATCATTATCATTAAG